AAGCAAAGTTTAAGATTTCTTTTGCTTAAAAATTTACTACTCACTTTTTATCAAAGCCTGTTCTTTTATTTACGTAATATAGATTTCTTGAATTCGCGATGTCTTATTAATTTAATATTAACATAAAACTTCAATTTTTGCAGATATAAATAATGCGCTTTATGAATTTACCATTGTCATTATTATGCAAAATGTTGATACGAATGAATAACTTACAAATTTTTTTACATATCTTCATTTTTTAATCATCTTTCGTTAGAAGTATGCTAATCTATTACATTACAAAGTTAAAGTCTTGTGATGTATTTATTTTATAATTTTCCCATTGTTTAGTTAATAATTTTGTACATAAAATATTCAGATATTATCCGAATACAAATAAAGAGCATTTATTTTTATGTCAAGTTTCTCATACTTTTGAGATTTTAATATTCGAAATTCGAAAATAATACTTCGTATATGCATTAATAATTTCATGATTGCAAATGTGCTTTGTTTAAAAAAAAAATTCCATATTCTTAGGATGTAAATTTAAACGAACAATATAGATTATCAGTAATAAAAATTGTAAGACACATTATATTGCATAAAAATATATAACAAATTTTTTTTTTTTTTTTGTTAGTTACAATTGCATTTATTAGTGCACAATTATTCAAAGTTTATACTAATAGTTTAATATCAGTATTAACTACTAGTAAAGTAGTATTGTTATTCATAATTATTTCTTATGTATCGTTTATCAAATTCGTATCTCTGTTATTATTATTCGTCGATAACCCAGATAAGAGAAATTAAGTAATGAGTATTTCTAATTTCAGAATATTCAATTAAACGTAATAAAGAAACATCAAACTATTTATCATTCGTTGTCTCTACCAATATTGTTATAATAATATAATGTGAAGTAAATTTGATGAGCGAAAATTGCATTAAAAGTATAAAAACAAAAATAAAACAATATTATTAGTTTATCTAGTTAATTATAAAGTCTCCGATCAAAAGTCTATATTAGAATTTATTGTCAATTGTTATTATTATTGTTATTATTAATATTACAATCAATCGGATTGATGATTCGTGTATTACTTTAAATTTTTAATTTTGTAAATAATCAAACTAATTAAATGCTTTCGAAGATATTGCATGCATAACTTACCGTTAAAATTATTCAAATGTGCGCAATACTGTAGTAGAGTATTTATTTTTGTTACATTATTAATTTATTACAAAAAGTTAATCTACATTCATTTATATGTAATAAGTAATAAATGCTTATCGAGAGGATGTCGAAATACGAATGAATTGCCAGTGTTCTGAAACACCACGACATTAATAAAATAATCTTAATCTTTCCGAACTAGCAAGGATGAGAACAATTGTCCGGGTAATTAGATACGTTTATTTGAATAATCGAAGGAAGAAAGGACGTATAAAGACGAAAACATTAGCGCATCTTGCTACAGTCGCAGTGTCAATAACTGTTATTCCACGTAAAGAAATATTATTGCACATACATCGCTTGGAATAAAGGTTAGAAAAAAAAATCATCAATTAGAGTTAAGGAGACGTTTTTCCTCGGCAACACAACTCACCGAATGTTCGAATTTACCTCGTGGCAAATGTGAAAGAGGGCAGTATTGCAATTAATAGAGAGCCCCAGGAGAAAATGAACAAAAGGTCGAAGGCCAGCGGTGAATTCCGTTTAGCGCTGGATACCGAGGAGTCGTTGGAGCATCGGTCGATCGCACCGTCGTCTCTCCATCCCCCGCCCGCAAGAGATTAACGAGGGTGCGGAGCCGTGAACGCGGCCACCATAAATAAGAAATCCGTGGAGCGGCTCGGAAGACGGGCGCTTAAGCGCGACGGGACTCGTTCGCCTTTAGCCGAGTGGTCGGCAGGCCCCTGTTATTTCGGTGGCTTACGTCAGACGGGCCCATGCATCCTTGGCTACGCCTCCTCGCCCCGCGATCCACTTCCTTCTTTCTTCGGACCGCGCGGGCAGTCAGCGGAGCGCGCACAGCCGCCGCCGACGCCACCGCCACCGCCACCGCCACCGCCACCGTCACCGACAGTCGGGGCCAGTCCTTCGAGCTCGACTTAGACCGATGCAATCGGCTCGCTGTGCCCCTCGTTCGCGGCTCGGCTCGCTTCCTTGGCCGCGACTCCTCTTGCTGACCACTGGTCGAGAGGCGACCTGGTGCATCTCGGTGGCCTTCGGATTTTCGCGTTCCTGATAGGCCGTCCAGAGAAGAGCAGCCACTTTATCACCGAATACCCAAATATTGTCCGTCGCGCTCTCGAGTTGCATGGTTGCGCTTGGGGTGACTGGAGTTGAGCCCATCGAATCTCCGGGTAGGGGGCGGCGAGGGACGAGGTAGCCCCGGGGTAGGTCACCCCAGTGACGCGATTCTCTTGAATTTTGCGAGCAGGTGCGCATACGGAATCCAACGGTAGCATCCTATGACTTACCGTTGTAGCAAGAGGATGAGTTCACATTGTGTGTTCACTGTTGCTCTGATATGTATTTAATAATGTACTTAAGGTCCGCTATTCTTAATCGCTTTCGTCTAGAGTCTTAAAATGTTCATTGAAGTTGATGAGAAAAAGCTTTTCGTGAACTATCGTTTGTAAATCCATCCAACATTCTTGGATCTAAGAGAAAAGTGATGGATAAATTTTAATATGCATCGTATATTGTAAAATGAACAATGGTTTGTTTAAACAAGAAAAAAAAAATAAAAAAAATAAAAAAATAAATAAATAAATAAATAAAATAAAATAAAATATTTTAATTTTACCAATATTATCGGCTATTCTTAGTCATATGTATACGTCAACTAATGAAAATTGTGCAAATTATTCTTTGAACTCATAGCTATTTGTACATTTTTAAGTACCACTATTTTATAAAATGAATGACAAACGATTAATTCTAAAAGTACATTATTACACAAAAATCGGAGCTTATTTTATGATCATAATCAGTTCAACAATTGGCCTTCTATTTATTTATAAAATAGAAAGCTTTCGTTATTATTATCAGTTAGTGATTGTATGTATTGAAAAATGTTGCTTTGACGAATAGATGTAATATTTATTTCATTAAAAACTTAAATCTCATTAAATTTTCAATGCATTTATAAAAGCCTTATTTAAAGATATATTAAAATTATGCTTTGATGAGAATTATCGATTATTAAATTGGTTCACAAAGTGAGCTTTATCATTTTGAAATTTTATATTATATAGAGATATTAATTATAAATAGTACGCAAATTTCATCTAAGCAAAACAATTAAGCACACTGTGAATGGTATTGTCAATATTCAATAATAATAATAATAATCTAAGTGAAATAATGTAACGATATATTTAATAAATATTAACGGAGTAAAAATATCTTTACGTATTATAATAATACTCGGTGTAAAACTTAACGATATTATCTTAAAACCAATTATTACTTTCTATTTTAGTTTTGACCGAAGTAAAAAGTTCTTTTTAACGTCTAATGATTATTCTCACAATGCGTTCACAATCTTTATATTATAAATCAATAATATTACTTAGTTACAAATAAATATTACATATTTCACACTATAATTATTTTATTATGTGTTTTCGGTCCCCTACATAAGTTTAGTTCGACTAAGACTTGGTCATAATTTCAATTTTTAATTAAGTTTCGTTATGTTAGCCTATGAATCATTAATTGTATAAGGACAATTTTACGAAAATCTTCCTCATTACTTAATTAATCATTTTATTAAAAGAATACAAAAAAATAAATAAATAAATAAATAAAATAAATAATAATTCTTACGACTTAATTTCAAAAATTAAGAAAAAAAATTTTTTAGTTAATTTTTGTTTAATTATTTAATTTAGATAAGCTACTGTTATATTTATGCTTAAATTATTTATTATTAAGATAACAAGTATGCATTATAATAAATTTTTATTTTTGCAAATTTGTATTTCTTAGCATTCATTTTATTACTTTTCTTTGTCATACAATTCGTAATTTCAATGGAAATCTTACTAATTTTGATTTAATATAATCTAGTTATTACTGACTAAAATAAATTATATAAATAATAATTAAATTATTTTTTAAACGTAATTTCAATTAATGGCTATGTAGCAATATCTAGCAATATTATTTTCATAAAATTAAATATAAAATACTTTACTTCTTATTCCATGCCATTTGATCCTATTTTTATATGGTATCTGCACCAATACATAAAAACGTCAACGTAGTTTGTTTTTATTGCTTTGTAATTATTAATAAAATTTCGAATTCATCGTTCGTTTTAATGTAAATTAACCTTTTTAAAATTTCATAATATGTCAAAGTTGTTTTATTTAGTAGTATTGAGCTACAATTTATCGACATATAATACACACTTTTCTAATGAATATACATATATATGTTTCAAGTTATTTCCACTTTTCATTTAAAAATTTAATCGATTATTCATTGCATATTCTCGTTAAGAATACTGATTGTAATGTTTGCATAAACTGGCAAAGTAAATATCTTCAATAATTATAGCATTAAATACCATTATAATAATTTTGTTGTTGTTTAATCATTATTACTTTTACATTCATTCTCAATGACAATTGATTGCCGCATAAAACTATACTCCGTATGTGTATGTAAATTTAATAATTATAATTCGTTAAATATCAAATATTAAATATATCATAGCGATAGTTTTATTGCAAAATCTAACGATTCTCAAAATAATCGGCTTTCCAAATCGAAACTACTAATTTTTAAGTACAGCTCGGAAGGCGCAATGTACAGTCAACTCGACATCACTAAATATTCAATTACCTAAAAAGGAATTATACTACCGTAACTTTTGTGGCTAGACAAAAAAAAAAAGAAGATTTAATTTAAAATGAAAAAGAAAATCATGGCTTGATAAAGCGTAATCGTTCTCAACCTTCTTTTCTATTTGACCCGCGATCGCTTTTGGAAGTAGCCTGAAGGAACTGATACTCGATCGAAATGACATCAAAGAACTTCCCGACGAAATCAGGAAGCTGCACCAATTACGGCACATCTCGTTGGTGGGAAACCTGATCGAGATCCTGCCTACCTTCCTCCTCGAGATGCGAGCCCTCGCCCTTACCGTAAGTACAATATAAGATCGGGGCGAGTGTTTATTTTTATTTTTCCGGGTCACCACGCTGATTAACCGTGATTTATCTTCTCCTTCTCACTTACGTTTCCTTCCTTCTCGTGCTCTATCTGTACACAACCAACTGCTTTCTCTTCCTCTTCGCAACTGATCAAATCTTGTACTATCAGGACGTTGTCTCCGGGAGGGCTGAGGGATCTGAGGCTAAAACAACCGCGGATGAGAAGAATAATTTCCACAACAGCTTGTACAAAGTGAATTTGCGAAATAATCAGCTCAAGGGAAACATCATTCTTGGTAACTACGGGGTAAGTTGTTTTTTGTTTATCTTAAATCTATGGCTTTCAGAGTATTCATCCAAAACAAAGTTTCCTTCTCGATTTCGTCTAATTTGCATTTAACTTTGCGTCCTACGCTTTAATAAAGTTTCATTAAAGTTGCTTTATTTTCACAATTGATTGCGAAAGTCTAGCCTATGTCGAGCTTAAATAGTTTATAATTATAATAAAAGAAAAATGTTTATTAAAATATGTGCCGTTTGAAAAAACAAGAAAACAAAAAAAATTGTAATAACCTAATATACGTCTTTACCCGTATACTTTAAAAAAGTTACGTAAAACAGAGGTTTCTAGATGAAATTAATTCATATTTATTAATTACTGGTGGTAAATTTTTTTATACAATGAGTTACAAATATTGAATTAACAAAGATTAATATATTTGGTGTATCTTTTTATTAAAAAAGCTATTAATGTTTTGCATTTTTAAGAGAGACAATTTATATATTTTATGTATAAATCGCACAACAACTAATGCGTAAATAGTTTGTTAAGAAATTGCCTCTCGTTAAAAATTAAAATTATTGATTTGTATTATAAATCAAGTTAATTCTGCTGTTTTAATTATTAAAAATTTACATTAATTAATTACGTGTAATCGTAAGTAATTTATTTTTATCGGAAAAATTTAGCGTATCTTTTAAGTTTTTTCCTCTCCTTTTTTAAAGATTTTTATTCTAACGTTACAATTATACTTTGAAAGGCGTATGAATACTTTTTTTTTGTGTATCAATGAATAATTGCTTAAAATATGTTCTAAAAATTCCAAACCACTTGATATCAACCTCTGGCAATAATAACCGGTAATCCCTTACATGTGGCAGTTGACTTTCCAATTAAGTAAATCCACTTTTTGTCATTCTCCACGCTAGGCTGGCCCGATAATTTTTCTCTCTCGGGGAGAAGCATTGAGTAATCCTCGAATAGTATTCGTCCACAATAAGTGCAGCTATCGTTTTCTTTTTTCTTTTTTTTTTTTTTAACGTACAATGAATTTATTACATTTCAGAATCTAACGCATCTCGATTTGAGCGAGAATAGCATTGAAAAACTCGACTTGAGTGCACTCGAAGAATTGAGAAGCGTTCGATGTGCCAGAAACATATTGACGGAATTGACTCTCTGCGGTCATAGCCTCATCTCACTTATTGCCGGAAATAACAGTAAGAACCCAAGTACTCCTTATAATCCGTTCCTATTTATTTTTATGCTTCCCGTACTCTTCCGTTAAAGTAAACATCATCATTTTTGCTCGACCCGAATTTGCTTTTATAGCTCTTGGCTAATTTTTTTCTTTCTTTCGCCGTGAGCAGAATTAACAAAACTGACCATTGTCCCGATACCAGTCAACCTCGAGCATCTGGATGTTTCATAGTAAGTAACGAAAACTCTCTCTTCCAATTACTCTTAGTACGCAAAGGTGTAGTATGTACTATAATAATACAATAACGGATATCGACGAAATATAAAAAAAAAAAATTTTAATATTTTTCAAAATATTTACAGTGTAAATGTGTAGAAATGTACATTATTATAATTTCATCTACAAAATTTTCTCTTTTATAGTAAAAACGTGAAAATTGAATTTTGCTTCATTAATAAATTACCAATATATTTTGCGTATAATTAATTAATTTAGATTTCTTTTTCTATTTAATATATTTTAATAATAGAACATTTTCAATTTTGATTTTGATTATCACGTGCTTTTACCCCAATTACTTTTTTTTTTTTTTTTTATTCGTATAATTACATAATAATAACGTGATTATCCTAAAGCGTTCGAAAGTTCTAGCTTCAAAGACTTTCCATAATAATATCTTTTATTTTAACGAGTGTTTTCCAACTTTAAAGAAATTGAAGTATTTTTAAACATGTAATTGACTCCATGTTAATTCGTTGATTTAATAAATATTAATATTCTAGCCATTTAAATTCATCTCGTTTTATTATATCGATTTTTAATATTTCAATTTTACTTTGCATTTAATTAAGTAATTGAATACTTAATTGCATTCTAATTTTTAATTATGCATATAAACACAAACATAAATATATATATATATAGATATATATATGTCGATTAATTATAATATTTAAAATAAGGAAAACAATAAAAACGATAGATTTTATAGTGAAAAATACAATGCTGAAATTTAAGAAATAAAAATTCCAAACAATTTTTCGCCGACTTTTTTCAATTTTTAAAAATACTTAGTCACATATCTTGATTCTATTCCAATTCTATTATTCATAGTAAGAATAAAAAAAACCGTATAATGTAAATATGAAAAGTTTAAACTAAAATTAATCGAAAGTGTTGATATATTGGTAGATTGTAATTGAACAACCAAGAAAAGAATCGTAATTTTTCAGTTTTTTCTTTTGCCTATTTTAAAATTTTGAAATTAAAAGCCTTTCTAAATGGCAAGGTGACTCGTTGAAAGGGAAAGTAACGTCCGAGCTGCTGGCACTGTCTTTTATCTGTCGCGTTACCTAGCTGAAACTAAAGTCGAAGCAAACGGTAAATAGTGAAAGACTCTTTACATGAAGCATAAATACGCAATTGGAAAAGAACCACATAGTCGATTGGTATGGTGTGCAATCGAGAGCAGCTGCCATCTAGTAGTTTATTTACTATAATTGAGAAAAGATATTTTTCATTATTGTTTTGAAAGGTAAAAAGATGGCTGAGCTCCCTCTCATACGCCCAATGAGTCCGATTGTTCATACGTCAAAGCCAGTGAAACGCCCCATTTATACTCAATATTTATGCGCGCGAGCGAGCTTAATAATGAGTATAAGAGCCGAGGTTGCTCGTTAACCGCATTAACCATTTGCATGTGACAATTACAGCAATAACCTGGAGAACCTCCCGGAGTGGACGCCCGAGCTCCCGGTGCTTCGCGCCCTCTTCGCCTCCCACAACAGCCTCAGCACCCTGCCGGATCGATTGCTGTCGCAACCGGCGGCCTCGCGACTCGAGGTCCTTCATTTACCACACAATCGACTCCAGGCGCTGCCGCCACCCCGGGGTCAGTTGAGCCTCGTTCACCTCACCCTCCAGGACAACGCCCTCACCGCCTTGCCCGCCAATTTCTTTACCAACACGCTCAAGTACGTAAAGCGTTTCCGCGATCCGGATACTCCACCTCGGAGATCGGAATCGAGGGTGGTTAGGCAAGCAGCCCTCGAGCTTTCTCTCTCTCTCTCTCTCTCTCTCTCTCTCTCTCGAGTCTCAGGGGAGAACGCGACGGCTGGCTTTGTTGTTGCTTTGAGTGGAGAACGGAGGCTGAGAGAAATGCCGATAGGACCTACCGTTCGATCATTCGCCCTCGTGGATTTTGTATTTGAGATCGGACGAAACTCTTTTCTAATTCAATTGACTCACAAACAATGTGTCCCCCTGTCCATAATACCATTTGACTGGCTGTCTTCACTTTAACCACGCTCATTGCCTCGTTTCTATATCGCAATTATTAAACATTGACGAATGATTAAATAAAGCTCGTACAGCTTGATATTTCATGTTTATTCTTCCTCGACGGGCATCGCGATATGATTAATTTCTTTCGATAAATACCGCTCGCGGCAACGCAACCTTTATTACGCAATAAATCCTACGGCCATGGCAAAAAATTTAATTACCACGAACGAATATAACCGTGCGCTCAATCACTGGAAGATGGCCGCTCGAGTCGCGAAACATGCAGTTTATTGACGAAAGCGCTCGTTGAATTTATCGGGTGAATGTCCCGCGTGAAAGGTCGTGGAAATGAGAAAAGTTTCTCTAATCGATGATGCGCGCATTCGCCAACGGATAATTAAATGATACGCGAGGATCATTGGGCAGACTCCGCGCGTCCATTCGACCAATAAATGAATCTCGAGTAAGGTTAAACTTCAAAATTGCCCCACGAATTGCAGTCGGTAAACAGCCTTGGCGAAGTTTGCGTTACGGTACATCCCGATACAAGCATTTGCAGTAGCCTTGCAACCGTGCACGCACCTCACGGCTGCCGCCTCTCCTTTTCCCGCAGGATGAAAGTTCTGAACCTGTCGAACAATCGATTATCCGAGCTGCCGTACAATTACGCGGAGCCGTCAGCGGCGTCCGGGCATCGCGGCAATCGACAGGACACCGCCAGCGCGATTCGCTCACGGAACTCATTGGAGAAACTCTACCTCACGGCAAACTCTTTAACCAACACGGCATTGGACGCACTTGCGCAATTCAAGGCGCTGAGGGTACTTCATCTCGCTTACAATGCCCTCGACACGCTGCCCGAGAGGTAAGACCGAATGCACGTACTCGTCCACAGGGGTGACCTAAGCACATTAAACCACCAACTTTTTAACTTGTTTTAACTTATTTACAAAAGTGTATTATTGTTATTGTTATCGTGTCTGGATTTTCTCCTCCTTCACCTTCATTATCCCTTGCATTCTTCTTTCTATATTTGCTCATTTTTCCCTTTACCCGCATACCTATGCTAATGCATTACGATGATAATATTGACGTATAGTTTAAATACTGAGAACGAGGTCATCGTGTCATAATACGTCCTTACTCTCTCTCTCTCTCTCTCTCTCTCTCTCTCTCTCTCTCTCTCTCTCTCTTAGGACTGGCTGTGAGGCTCCGCTGACTTAAGGCTGCGCAAAAAGAAATTGCAGGTCATTCTCTTAATTTATTTGTCTGTGCAGCATCTTTGCTTCTCTATACGTGCCAAACGTAATTGTATGCGCATGAATATGTTAGGATGTGATTATCGTTGCACTTGGACACATCCATGTATCAATCAGTTTATTAGTAATTAAATTGCTTTAAATTTCATCGCTCCATGGCTTAATGAATACATCGCTGTTTTATTTTATATTTTACATTAAATACCAAACACTCCTGTATCTCGGTGAAATTCAACATTCAACTTAAATGTCACATTTCAATGGATTTTAAATATAGACTTTTATATTCTAAACTTTTGTATTATAGATTTACTCTTCGTCCCGAATGAGAAAATCAATCGAACCTATATGAGTATTGAAACGAGGTATCTCCACGACAATGCTCTCTCTCTCTCTCTCTCTCTCTCTCTCTCTCTCTCTATTATATATATAAAATATTTCTTTCTCTTAAAAATTAATTAGTTTTTTATAAGTTGATGTATCCATTTTTAAATTCTAGTTCCAATTAACTATTTGTATTGTGTAATATTATTGAATATATCCTAGATATAAATTAAATTAAAACGATAAAATAATGGAGAAAAGAGAATTTATATCCCATGAAATTAGACATTTAAAGTGGCCTTTAAAAGTGGTCATTATATTGATTTTTAAGCTATTTGTGTCTTTAAGTATCTTTAAGCTTCGATGCTCCATTCAAATCTCTTGTCATTCTGTACTAAAACAGGGATAATTTTTACAATTAATAAAATAACTTTTATTTTTTGTACTCTCTGTATAAACGCTTTCTTCTTTCTTCTATTATCTACGATAACATGTACTATTGATAAAAATAAGCATTACAAATAACTATTAATTGCATAATGAGATTTACATTACTTTTAATTTCATACGAAACATTACATCTTTTGCGGAATGTCGATCAATCAAGTCGTTATAATTTAAATATTCACACTGAATCTCCCAATGTCATGATAATAAATATATTTACTTAATAAAAACGAATGATCATAATCTGATAATATAATCCATAATGCTAATATGGTTATAAACTATGACTTCCCGAAATAATATCAAGTTGCATATATAAAATCTGCTTGCATTATTAACGAAGAAAAATGTTTTACTTAATTTAGGGAGAAATTAAATTTTCTCCAACTATATATATATATATATATATATATATATATTATGCACTACTTTCACGGCTTACCAAGTTTCACAGTAATCACTCGTTGCATCCCGTACTATGCCAGACTTACAAATTCTGACCACTACCAACGTGCATTTTACACAAACTTATATGATGTTTAATTATTTTATATATTACCTTATATCGGGGTTATTATTAATTAATGAATAATTAAAAATAAAAAATTTTCAAATGGCATAAAATTTTTCGAATTGTTTGATTTACTACGCGACTCACTTCGCGTTTTATTATGTCAACAATTTTTCATATTTTATTATTACAGTTGTTTAAATCAAACATTACAAAACATAAGCCATATATTATTTACGTTTACGTTAAAATTTGAAAAGATTATTATTTTTTAAATGATTTTTTTATGCTTTTACACATTATTTCAACACTCTGTTTAAATGAAAAATAAATTTTCAAACTTTTGAAAATTAATTTGACACTAAATCGGCATTTAGATTGTAATTGAATGATACGTCTTTTAAACCAAATACTCATTGATATTTAAAATATTACAATACGTTTTCATTCCGTTTAATTAAATAATTTATATGCAATTAATATTTTTATAATTTAATCTTAATATAAGCATGATAATTTCTTCATTTCTATATGCCAACGACTATCTCAGATATTTTATTAAATACTTGGCGCATATTTTATTTCGTATTATCTTTCAATAGAACATTTAGATAAATGCTTATTTAATCAACCAAATAAATATATTTGGAATTTCGGAAAAAAAAAATTTTCTTTTTTATAGAATATAAATTATAATTAGAAGAATTATAATAATAATTTGTTATTTTCGATCAAATATACAACGAACAAACATGTTAATATAAGATAAATTCATTTTTTCCGATAAGCCAATAATAAATTGATAATTTAATAAATGTAAATTTATACATCGTTACTATTACAACTTTTTTCTTTTTTTATGACAAGCAAATTATTATTAATATTAAAGATGATATGAAATTTCGTAAAACTTTCTGTTAAACGGTAGGTAAAGTAGAAAGTTTATAATGCACGCTTGTTACGGATTAAAAAGTTGAAAGTCGAATGTGGGAGAGGTACGAATGTAGCAATGAATCCAAAACTTCGTGTTTTAAGGATTATATTGTCTAACAATTCTGAACAAAGCAAAACTGAACATAGCAACTCATCTGTCGGCACGAGGATAATTTTTGATAAGATGTCTGGCCACAGAGTAAACATCTTTTTCCAGGGCCTCGTTATAAACTATCTTAAAATCTTTTTCTGAGTATTTATCGCCTAATTTGATTACCATTCGCCGATTGGGATCGTATATTCCTTATAACGGAATCCCCCTTTGGAATAGTCGTAGAAGTTTTGTATATAGAACCTCGTCCTCCGATGTCCAGATTGCATCAGGGCACTGCTGGTGTTTGGGTTCTTCTAGTTCAAATTCACTTAGTCACTTTCCGAAGATTCCTGCTCAGAACTGCATTCACTATTTTTATTATTATTTATTATTTTTATTTTCATCTTCATTTTTATTATCTTTAATTTTGTTTTTATATTTATTATTACTGTTGTTGCTGTTGTTACAATTATTATTATTATTATTAGTATGATTTTCTTTATTTTTACGTTTGTTTTTATTTTTAGCTGGCTTGTAAGTTATATCTGTCCAAGTGTGGTTGGAGTTAGGGTTGGATAGATACTTGGATAGATAGCCGGGATATATATTTCATTATTCAATTGTCATCGTGTATTGTTGCCTTGAAATTGATTTTTGGAGACATGTTGGACAAAGCAACGTCTATCATGTTTATTACAGCATCCCTGCAGTCCGGATAGGTTTTGGTTAAATGCGTTATGTCAAAAGCAACCTTATGTGATTTTCCTTGGTGACCAGATTGAGAAAAGACTTTGATTGTCGGTGCCGTGGTGCGACTATATTTTAAGGAAAAGGGTACTTCATTCTCTAGTATTATGTACTCTTTCTTGTACGCATTTTAAGAATCATCACTATCTGAGCATAGAGATAATGATTGTTGTTCGTCTGATGCTCCTTCATCTTCCTCTTGTTCTCCTTCGCTGTCACATTTATCTTCTTTACTATCCTCGGATATTTCATTCAACTGAACTTCTTCTTGTTTCGCATTAGTATTCTGGGGGGGGGGGGTTGCTAAGTTAAGACCCCACGCACTATCCACTGTGGACATATTTACTTCAACTTCTGCATCCCTGGCATCTTCTTCGGTGTATTGCGCTAATTCTAGCATCTTCTTTGTATCCATAGGTCGCTGGTTCAAATCCGGTTCGAAGGACCACAAAATGTCTGCGATCAGACTGAAAAACCTCCCTTAGATGTTGGGTGGAGGTATTACTGGCAAGTGGAAGGGATAGTGCAATTATTCAAGACTACTTGTAGTATTTATTGTCGTTCCTTTTATTAAATATAATAATATAATAAATAATTAATAATTATGAAGTATATGAATAATAGTATGATTGTTTTAAATATATGAAGTTTCTTTTATATTGTTACATGTTGATGAATGTATATCCTTTTCGTTGTATAATGAGTAGGTGCTATCTTTCTATACATTAAACTGCTGATGTTTGTATTATACGTGGTTGCCGCGCTTTTCTATGCGTCGATCTTATCCGTGAGCATATATAATATGATTTTTATGTTTTCACTGTTGTTTTATCTTAGCACTAATGCGTTATTAATATAAAATTTAGTTTAATGAATTTTAGAATATGGTGTCACTATTTCTTTCTTGGATTATTTGCTTGATTGATTATTACGTATGTAGACCGCTACAATGAGTGATATATGTAGAGAAAGCTTGAAGATGTATATTCTACGTGCGTTTGTTATAACGACTGTATAATTGTTACTAGACTGAGACAAACTGACTTGTTGCACGTGAAGCGCAGTCCTTAAATATTATCGCACTAATTCTCCAAAGATCATGTTTGTTGACATGACGATATTGGTCGTGACGTCAACAGGACATAGCCTGGAACGTTCGTTGCTAGTATTTTCTTTAAATAATAGAATTGCCCATTCATACCTCTCCCACTTTCGACTCTCAACTTTTTAATCCGCGACTACGCTCATATATCAAATTACATAATTTTAATACAAGAAATCTAGAATCCAATTATCTGTATATTATTTTGTTGGCGAAACTTTGTCTATTACATATATATATATATATATATATATATATAGATATTATTATTTTCATACAATTGATTATATTATTTTATTATTACAAAACTATTATATCATATATTATATTACATTTGCATTTGCCTTAAAAAGTTGTAAAAATGGGGGAAAAAAATAAGATCATTAAACAAACAAAAAAAAAAAAAAAACAAAACAAAACAAAAAAAAAATGATCGAGACAAAATTGTAGTAACTTATCTTTTATGCAATACTTACTTATACATAGCTAATATAAAATATGAATATGCATTCTCTATTTATACAAATCAGAGCTTTTCCATTCAATTAAGTTACCTCGATCCGTAAATTTTCAAAAGACGCGTGCAACGTTAACGTCATATCTTTTTGAATTTCAAGAATCCCGTTATCCTTAAAATATTTAACGAATTCTGGTGGTTTTCAGCTGTGTAGCATCGTGGAAGGAGTTAGAGGAACTTGTCCTGTCGGGAAACAAACTACAGTACCTCCCGGACAACGTTGCGGATCTTCCACACTTAAGAGTCCTTAGGATTCATTCCAATCGACTTTTGACTTGCCCTGTCTTCAACAAAACTTCCTTCCTCAAGGTAAAGTATCTTTGTATGAAACTAGGAGAGAGTAATACCAGCATAAAGAATATTTTCAACTGCAATTTATCGCGCTTTAACTGTATGAGCAGTTGTACTGGAATAATTGCTTCTTGTACTTGAGTAAGTACAATTAGTTATGTCGTTTTCAAGATTCTGTCTTCCGTTAGTTTATTTCGGATCTTTATATCTTTATGCGCAATTCATTGAATTTTATGTGTATTACATATCTTGCTTATTGAAGTATTCCTATCAAACAATTAACAAAATCTTACTTCACAACTCAATGTGGCAAAGTTCAAATATACCATCCCATATGAAAATAATGTGCTTGTATTTTTTATAATAATTATAACAACAAAATAACTACATGTAATTTGCTTACATTCTCATTGCCAAAATTATCTTTGACATCATTTTACATCTGAATTTTCAAGAAATAAATTAATTTTATAAACACTAAAGTTTCCATCTTTATTAACAAAGATGCTTTAATAAAATGCGTAGAAAAATGTATTGAATTGAAATTTTATTGGTACGAAAAAGAATACAATAGAAGTATGTACAGAAGTGTGCAGAACCCTCGTATACTCTTATCATCTTATCATTTTATTATTTCGTGCTTGAATTCTCGTATAAATATCATATAAAAATATAAAAATAGTTTATTAATCTGTACGAGCTTACCCCACTGTAACATTAATTCGAGCATTAATCATACATTAATAATAGAATTAGTAATTATAATTATACGATATGGATTTTTTCATATACTTTGTGAACATTTAATGAACAATCTAATTGAAGTCTATCGAAATACCTCAATGGTATATAAATGATTGTTACGAATTGTAACAGTTGAAAGGCGGAATAGAAAAGTGGGAGAGGTATGAGCGCGTGAACGGTTGTTTATAAACACTAGTCAACGAACTCGAATAATATTTCTACGCCAAAAACCCGAATATACGACTATAATTCCGAAGAATTATAACAATGAAACTTCCAAAACTATGCATTATTGACGTCACGACAAATGCTGGCATAGCAACAAACATCGGATCTCTACCGGCGCCTAAAAATTACCATGAGAATATTTAAGGGCTGCGCTTGTTACGCGGCGCTCTGTCTTTGTCTCAGTCTAGCGTAATAACGATTACGCAATAATACGACGAGCTCACTATTCAGTCTTCAAGCTTCTTTCTACAGTCATCACTCACTGTTGATGCACATGTACGTAATTGCTCAAATAGTAAGCAATCTGACTATACAATAGTGAAGCCACATTATCAGAATCCGCTAATCAAACTTAAACGAATAACGCGATAGTGCGAACATAATCAAGAGTGAAATTATCGAATCATGCTACATATATTAACGGATCACACCGACACTAAGATAGCAGCGAAACGGTCACCCTTTAGAAAGCTTCGGTGCAACAGCAGCAGCTCTTACGCACCGACCCTAAAGCAGGAGCAATCCAGCCTCACTTAGGCAGTAGCGGTATAACAGCGGCGGTTCATACGCACACTACTACAGCGATACTTCTCGGAAGGGAAGGAGTCACCTCTCACATCACGGAGAGTACATACACTCTCCTCAGCACGTAACACTATTGAAGAAACTTCCTCTAATTATTCGCTCACACCTTCATTCACACACTTTATGATTATTAACTATTTATTATATTATTATATTTAATAAAGAAATAACGATAAACATTAAAGGTAGTATTGAATAATTGCATTGCCCCTTCCACTTGCCAGCAACACTTCCACCCACCATCAAAAGGAGGTTTTTAGTCTGATCCTCGACAATGATCCATCATAAGAATAATTGAAAATATAATAATTTGACTTTATTAGTTGTCTAATAATATTTTTTTTTTTTTTGTTTTTTTTTTATATAACATGTTTTAAACATTATATATTTATTCGATAGAATATATAAATACAAAATAAAACTTTTTCACCCAATATATATATATATATATATATATATATATATATATATATATATATATAGGTCACTTTTCCGTTTGTATTTATTAAGCATTTTGAAAATATTCTTACCATTGAGAAATGTATATTTATTTTTACTTAAATACTTGTATTTACTATGTAAATCGTTTCTTTCAAAATTAGATTTTTAAATTTAATTCAAAAAATTTTTAATTTATACAATCGAACAACCAACAATTATCAATCATTGGTTTTCAATATTGAAAAAATAAATTTTTAATATAATTAATTATTATTCAATCTTTGAATAATATTTTTAATATTTGAAAATAAAAACATTTTAAAATATTGATTACCATGACGAAAATATTTCATGTTTGTTTTGCGAGATATTTTATTTTGTTATATCAGTTAACGAGAAAATAATGAAAAGAAACATTTTTTGAATTGCATAATTATATTTTTATTCGTCGACTTCTTCTATTGGCCATCACTATAAGATGAGCGAATGGTAAATAAATTCTATTTTTATCTTCTACATTAAATTCATTCGAACTACCTTATGTCTATTAAATTGAAATTTTATTAAAAACTTGTATAATTTCTATTGAAAATTATTTTCCAATCAACTGTTTATAAATTAATACTTCATTATGGCAGTTGTATCTCCTTATAATACATATAACATTTAAACTCTCGTTAAAATTTAATTAAGATGAAGAATTATAAGCTGAAATTAATCATCGATATCTCAGTTTTATAAAAATTCATGAATTTATCAATATAACTCATTGTTCCATTAAAATATACTTATGCTTCTCCAGACAGAAAAAAACAAACAAACAAACATTTATCTTATAAACTAGGATTTTGTGATGCGAAGATTTAACGATAATTTAACAGATTATTACAAAGCAAATAGCTGCTTATTGAAGTATACAAGTTTTTAATATGGAAAATTTTCCACCACCGGAAATTAATTTTGCTCGACTGTATGAACCAACCGTAAATTGGCCGGAAAACCTTTCTCGAATACGTAAGGCTAAAGGCTCGCAATTTGCGTTCGCCTCGAGCCCCAGATATCCCTGTAATTCTTCGAATTTGGCATTCAGGTTCTCGACCTCGCCCACAACCACCTGGACCGGCTGAATCTGGACAACCTGCTGTCGGCACAACTCCACTTCCTCGATATTTCCTGCAATTCGAGACTACGAGTCGACCTGCGCCAATTCCAGAGCTACAATAGCTCGCGCAGGCCGCTCTCCCTAGTCGACGTGTCTGGTCAGAACCGATCGACGTCCGGAGTCGGCGGCGCCTCGACGCAGATCGCCTCCCGTGCCAGTCACCGCAAGGATGCCGAGTACAGTCATCTTCCCTGGCGACTCGGCTTCTCCGAGACCGCCGGCACTCGCGAGAGGTAGTATTTTCCGTAATTATGGACACCGCAGCCCATACATCCTGATAATGTCCTTAATAGCGCTTTATGCCCAGCTAAATTATGATGCATGTGACATGCGCCAGCGGGGCTTTTTCCTTTTTTAGAACATTAATACCCCGGGGCCTTCGTCCTTTTCGACAACTTATTACGATTACACTCGTTTTTGTTTGGGCTACTAAACAAGGAGCGGGAAAGGATCGCACGATGATATGTATTTTTATAGTATTCGCTATGGATCGAGTGGAGTTGCATATTATAGGAGATTTACATCGATATTCCACTTGGAATATCTAGGATGAATTTCTATTTCGCATACCGCGCTCTAGAAATTGACGTTTCACCACACTTTAAATATCTAGGATCGTTTTTTTTTGTTTTTTGTTGTTGTTGTTTTTTTTTTTATGTAGTTATTGAATTGTAGTTATCGAATGGATCTAATTTTGTGAAATTTTATGCAAAGTAAAGAATTTTATCGTTTAACGAGCTACGGTATATTATTCACGTTAAAAGTAATTAAATAAGTGATGCCAAAGAAAATGAAACTTTCTGATATTGTCGTTTCTTTATTGTCAGTCTTGGTCAAATGAATATTTATTCGTCAAAATTAAGATAAATTCATCATTAGTTAATATTATCATTAAAATGTATTTTAACGCAAAAGATTTATGCGCTTCTTATGCAATACTATTGTAATTTGTGTTGTTCGAGAGCCTGCAGTTTAAGAAATATTTAACGTGTTTCTGTACAGGATTTAATTATTTATTATAGTGTATACGATACCGGAAATACCCATATGCATTATTCCTGCATTAATGATGAATGTTTGAATAATTATGTAAAATTTACATGTATAAATTAAAAATGCCGTCCTTATTTCTGCAAAAACTAATAGTATCGTAATATTTATTTCATAATATTTATTATTATTTCCTTGTACTGTGTATAAAAAAAATTTGTAGTCACTACTGCTAATAATAATTATTGATCTCATAATTTATTCTTACTGCCATTCGTACGTCATATTTCATAAAAATGTAATATAAATTAAATTTTAAAAACATTAATAACTAAGGAACTTATTAAAAAGTCTTTAATTCTTATTGATAAATTCTGCGACGAACTTTTGTATAAGATATTATTGTAAGCAATCGAGGATGCAAAATAACATCTTCATTCCATTATATTAATATGAAGAGACAAGAAACTCTTTGAAGAACAAAAGGGAAATATGCCACTGAAGAGAAACAATACAGATAAGACCTTTCTCTTAGTATCTTTTATTTGACTTCATTACTTTTCTAAACAGTTCTTTGTTGTTATTCATTCAGAACGATCTACGGCAGTGAAAGTTCCGACTAATTTTATTTCAAAGTGAAAATTTCCAGTAAAATATATTTTCTAATTTATGTTAAAATATTATTTAAGAATTTAATAATATACACTAATCGTATGCCCAATGTTATAATTTATTTACATTTTCTTTTTCCGTTATATATCGTGTATAAACATAGACGCGCTCCCGCCCCTGTATTATACATACATTTAAAAACATTAATATATTTAAATTTGATGGATTTATGTAAATTTTAAAGAAATATAATATCCACTAAAAATAATACAAGCTATGATCAATTTACTTAGAATGAAATTCAATTTAAACAAAACATGTTTTATAAATTGGACGCTTTAATGAATTTTATGCACAGGCAATTGAACTGTATTTGAAAATGTTTAAAGTAATGCAGTTCTTTGAATAATTATACTTAAATACATTTTTCATACAACAAAAATAATATTAATGATAACGATGATAATAATAATAATAATAATAATAATAATAGTAGTAATGAGCATCATAACGAGAGCAGCAACAAAGATCATAATAACAACAATGTAACAAAAATAAGAATAAAATAAAATAAAATTTGTGCTAAATTTGGAATAAATGAAAATTTTTAAAAATACAAACAATATTTTTATTGATATTATTTAAATTACAATTTTAAGTGGATAAATGAACTTTAAATAAATTTTGATTTAAGTTTTTTAATACTGCTTTTTCTTTAGAATCCCAAATAGGAAAATGTCTGTATGAAATTAGCTTTGACGAAAGAATTTTTGGATAAAGAATGGCGAACAAAAAAAGAACTATTATTTTTTATAAAAGAGTGAAGAAAACGTGAGAGGTTACTGTGATACGACATTGGCGTTTGATAAAAGCGAGCCATATCACCACCTAATAAAGCTTCTATCCTGTACATCCCATTATCTTATTAATCCTCAAGGTCACGCTTTAACGTTCCATCTATTTGAATATCCCAATGCAGACTTCTGGTGAGTCAAGTGCGCATGCCAACCTTTTGCAACACCGAGGGTCTCTTCGGCCTTTTCGACGGCGGCTCGAATCAGGAAGCGCCTGCCTCCCTCCAGGAGATGATTCCCCGTTTACTGCTGGAGGAGCGCACGGTGAAGGAAACTCGGACTGACTACCTGCGCTACACGCTATTGGCGGCTCAGCGGGAATTCCGCAACAAAGGCCAAATGTACGGAGTCGACGCGGCCCTGGTACACGTAACCGGGCTCGTCGACTCCACGGATGAGAAGCCAAAATATTTGCTGACGGCGGCTAGCTGCGGCGAGGCCAGGGCGGTGCTCTGCCGGGCCTCCGGACCCCTACAGCTCGCCAAGAGCCTCGACGATCAGTACCTGCCCAGACTACAGGCTGCTCTGGCCCGAAATTCAAGGGACCAGAAATCGGGAGTGGCAAACTTACTGCCCATCGCGCTGCCGGAACCTACGAGTCAGGAGGTTTGTATCGCGATTTTTTTATCTTAAAACTTGACGAGTTGATATTTTCTTTTCTTCTATTAGGATTCTTAAAAAAATTATTTCTGGTATTTGTGAGACTATTGCAGATTGGCACTGGCGTACTTCTATAAGCACCTTGTTCCTTCTAATTTTTATGAACATTACATTCTAACTTGAAATTGAAATTTCTCTTTGTTTACTAGAACACTCATATATGCCTGGAAAAACAATATTTTCAAAAATCATATTTTTAATATCCTAGCTCCTAGAGATGTGCATTGTTCTTTATTAAGGGAATTAATTTTTTCATTGTATATTTATTGATAAATCGCATATGAAAATATTATCACATCTATTTTCTTTAATCATTAAAAATTCCATGCTTAATGATTCTTGAAGATTATATTTGTTATGTGAATTTAAATGCAATGTAAGTGTACGTGATATAATATGGATTGAAAATCGTTCGCTTGATCAACGAATATCCGCACGGCATTGCAAATCACTGAATCAACACGATGCATTTGATAAAAGGCAGATATTTCATATTTTCACGATCGCTTTGAAATTAATAAAGAGAGTAGTTGTGAAATTAAATTAGTCTCGTGTATTTTATATAAAGTATCATTTTTCACATTTGTATTTGAAAACAGATATAAGGATATATTAAATAGAATTAACAATGCAAACAAGTCGATTTATTCACTCGTGATAACGATCATTCTATTCGCATCATTTTTTTTCTTTTTTTATAAATTTTATAAGTACTTGCAATATTGCAAATGAAATGTTAATTTTCTTTATTTACTTATTGAAATATTACATTAACAATGTATGGTGCTACTTAAGGAAGAAACATTAATTACCATGTAAACATTTACGTTATCATTTCAATTTTTGAAACTTAATAAATATTCTTTATAAACTTTCGATTAGGTCATTAAATTTTTTACACACATTTCATTTTATTCTTTATAATCATCTTATAAAAGACATTAGTTAAAAAAATTTGCCGAATATTGTGAAAATCACATTCTACTATAGAGTAATACTAATTTCATTAATATAAAGATTTTCATAATTGAAAATAAATAAAGATAACTATAATATAAACATTATATTGAGTACTCTTAAGCAATTTCAAATATACTTTTCTGCTTATTTTAACAATATTTTGGAATGCAAGAGCTTTCAATAATCAAAGAAGCTGATAACATTTTATATGTCATTAAGTCATATTGAGTATCTGAACAATTTATAAATTGCACGATGAATTTTTTATAAATAAATTCATTTCAATTACCTAATACGAGTACACGAGTACACTAGAAATTTCTAGCTCTTTAGCTCATTATAATCACCATTTCAAATTACTCCAGAAATGATAATGTGTATTTGTTATCCTCATTAAATTCAACATGATATTTTCATTTCTTTAATAAAAGAAATTCAGTTCTAGATTAAATTTCTATACATAATTCATGGGAAAAGGTATTCTTTTTTGGAATATTCCTTAAAGCTACGAACATTGTCGTATCTTTACAACTATCGGGAAACGTGTCCTGTGTCGTAACACAATGTCTGAAACTTTTAACTTTAAAAAAATTTACGTATTTTCCAACATGAATGGTTTTTGCAAAGCCATGAAAATATTATTACTATTTTATGATGAATAAATAATTGATATAATAAGGGAAAAGTTGGGCGCAAAACCGCTACTGTCTTGTATTATTTTTTTTTTTTCAAAGAGCTCGAACTAATTTAAAGTACAATATACATTTGATTTCATAGAGAATTTTTTTGCATAGTGGTAGACGTTTATTTTAGTTTTAAAGGTATAAAATAATAAATTACTGGTAATTGAATTGTTTATCTGTGAACCTTGCCGTTGACAGAAATAAATTGTTATTTATTATTATTTTTTTTTAAATATTATTAGTACTTATCAGAATTTAATTATCCTAATCGTTTTTTTATAATATATGTATATAAATGTATTATCAATTATTTTTATAATAAAAACTCTTTTATAATGATATTATTTGTACGATTAAAAACTATATTTTAAATTATATATATATATATATATATATATATATATATATATATATATATATATATTTATATATATATATCTTTATTGATTAAAAAATATTTCACGGCTCAACTAATACGAAACATTGATATTTTTCTGATAATATCGTAGTACATCATATTTACTTAGGTAATTTTCAAGAACATAATTTTATAATTAATAGTCAGTAAACGACAGAAAGATGAATAATATAAAATACAAATTGGTTGAAAACATTTTAGTACAACTGTCGATATCTTCATACGTATGTACGTAAATACTTGAAATTTAAATGAACTATTAACAACCTTTTCAATGGAATTTGTATACGTAATTACAAGAGAGTATTTCAATTTAATATATAATATGATTAAATTTTATTGTATTTATATTTATATTTCAATATTTTATCGAATTATTAATCTCGATATGTCTCTATTTATTAGTTAAATTTTAATGATCAATTTCCATAGGATATAACTTATTAATTAATTTTCAGTATGTTCTGTCCATTTTAGGATAATTTCAATTCTAATCATTAATTCTCTATAATTCGTACATATTTATGTACAAGTGCAGGCATAATTAACATTGAAATATATAAAATTATTCTTTCGGCTCTTACAAATTATATGTTTACGAATATTCAAAAAATTTTTTATATTCATATGTATCATCATTTTGAAATTTATTAGAAAGACGACATGCATTTCTGAACTCGTTTTATATGAAAATATATTTAATAATATTAAATTGGAGTTTCACTATTTATTGATTTTCATCGATAATTTTACACATAAATTTTGACTTCATTTTTGACGAATATTGTGTAATTTGATCAGCTAGTTCGCAACTAAGATTTTATGCAAATATTATAACAAATTTCGAAAAACTATAATGAAAGATAAGTAATAAATATTTCGCCTAATTCTGCTTCATCTATGAATACAATAACATTAGTTTAATTACGATTGATCTAAGTATATCATTGATCATCAATTTAACGTCTATTAAGCTATTTATATACTGTTTTTAGGTTGTTACATTTTATATTTGTATTTCAGACTGAATATTATATATAATTTATGCAAATAATGATCATATAATTCAACACAATTTTTATATTCTTACACTTACAATGCAGTTAAATCATCTTCATCATTATAGTTTAAAGATTGATAAAATAAGAGGATTTCAAATTGATCAAATATATTAAACATTTTAATGAGCAAATAATATTATAATATATTGGACAAAGTTATTTAATGCCATTTATATGTACATTATGTTTATATGTTTTTTTACATCGATATTGCTTTAAAAAATCAAAATCAAATAGAATTGTGAAATATAAAAAGAAAGCAAGAAATATGGGTTATGTATATATCGATGTATTTGAGAGAGTTGAAATTAGTTTATAATTACATGCACGTCTTCTTGATATTTTGTAATTATGCAAAGGTCGTCCTTTAAAATTAGAAGTAGTGAGTATTATATAACTTATGAATACTTACACACTAATAGTATTAAGAAAAACGAATCGGCTAATTGTTAAATTTATGATTTTAATGTCGTTTGTTAAAAAGTATTATATTTCCTTGGATTATAATGTTAAAATTACTCGCTGGTGATTACCATAGTATGAAAATTAATGTGTTAAAGGTTGAAAAATCACCTCCGGAGGTCATTATTATCTCGCCAAGATGTAGAGTATAAAATATGACAATAATAAGAATCGTGGATACATGATTGAGTCCACCGCACTCAAGCGACTTCTTAAGACATTGTGAATTTCAAAATGTTTTGTACGACGACAATTAATTATGAACACAAAACTCCCATTAACTAAATTTCAAGAGCTAAAAATTAAAATTGTTATTTTCATACTTTTTTCATTATCTGCTTAAGATAAAAATATTCTTCTGTGAAAATCCGTTGGTAAGCCTTTAAAATTACATGCAATCAAATATATATATATATATATATATATGTGGGATAATATTTTAAACGATAGTAATATAATTAATAGACTGACTTCCAAAGTAAAAAAAAAAAAAAACACAAGTACAGAGCATGTAAGTCGGTTACTTTTGAATATTTAATATTTTTCTCGTGTTTATATGCTCCTTAAATTATACATAATTCTAAACGAATACATTTTAAAATAGCTTTCATCGTCGAATACATTAGCCTTTAGAGACGCTTCTATTATATAATTAATACAGCATTAAAACATATATAAAAGTTGTTCTTAATAATGAGAAGAGAAAATTGTCAATGATGCTAATTAAATAGCCGTTTTATCGTGCCATTACGAAATGCCATGACAAAAGACGTTGCTTATAGAATTGGCTTGGCCAGATAAAATTCAAAGATCCTCACCCATCCCGTTCCCCGTCCTAGTGCGGCGAAGAATCGTTGCAGAGTCATTGACTTATGGATCCTACCGTTAGGTGATTCTGGAGGATGACGACGAGTTCGTGATAATCGGCAACCGGCGTTTGTGGGAGGTGCTCAGCATCCAAGAGGCAGTGCGCGAGGCGCGGGCGGAAGCCAATCCCGTGCTCGCGGCTAAGCGGCTTCAGGACCTCGGCCAGGCGTACGGCGCCGAGGATAACTTGAGCGTCCTCGTGGTGCGGCTCTCGACTGGCTCGGCCGAGCCTCTGAACCGACTCCTAATGCGCGAACTCCGCCAAGCGGTGCGCACGAAGGAACTCCGAGCCCCGGCTCCCGAAGCTTCCGGATGCACTTGCCCCTGCTGTACGCCCCGGGTGCCCGGTCACGAGGCGCCGGCCGCTTGCTGCTGCCACGCCCCGACTCTCGGGCTCAGCGACTCCGCGGCGAGTTCCGTCAACGGCTTCTACCTCAATGGCGTCCTCCGCAACGTCATAAGCGCCAGGTGCGAACTTACGAACTGATCGGGCAATATTATCGACTAACGGAATACCTTCCGTGCAATATTGACGAACATCGGTGCGTCGTACTTCCAATGTCACTAGACTCGAACACGACTCAGCACGAATCGCGGATTTACCGATGTACGACGAGCTTATTGATTACTCGATCGACTCGGTCAAGCGACATTTAATCACTCACTCGAGGATATGTAATTTTTACGAGTTAGACTTTGTGATCTCGATTCATTGTTCCAGCGCTAATGGATTTACAATTATTTCACAACAGTTCGCTTTATCATTTTCAGTAAAAATTACAAATTATTCGATGGCATATGTAGTTTTGAATTACCCATAAAGCTATAAATCATAGTCAATAATAATTAGCAGAAAATTATGCTGAACAACGATAAACGATATTCTAGAGTTACATCTAACATTGTGAATCAGAAAAGGATACGCGAAAAAAATTTCGCAGAAACCATATTTGTATAATGCAATTACGGTAGATGCAAGAAATACAGATGCGCTGATCTAATTCGATGTAATGATAATTTTGCAAATAGACCCTATCTAAAAATTAAAAAACAAAAGAAAAACAAAAGAAAAACAAATTAAAAATAATAAATCTTGTTGAAAAAAAAAAAAAAAAAAAAAAAACAGATCCAGCGCAATGTCGAGTCGCAGCAGCCAGCGACAGTTGCGAGAGGATCGGAGTTCCCCGAGTGGCCAGTCGGATCAGACGAGCGAGGTCGGTCTCTTCGAGCCCCGTAGCCGTCGTCGAGCCTCCGACCGCTTTTGTTCCGGAAGTGCAAACGCTTGCAAGCTCCGTCAACAGCAACAGCAGCAGCAGCAGCAGCAACAGCAGCAGCAACAGCAGCAACAGCAGCAGCAGCAGGAACAACAGCAGCTACCCGAGAGGACGCCACCGCCGAGCGACGAGCAGCTCCGTTGCTGGGAGTACATGCTCGAACAAAATACCCAGCTGCTCTTCGACAAGGAGCTGGACACCCTGACGAGCGCGCCCCGGAGCTCCGTCTTACGCCGAGGTCGTGGTAAAGCAAAGTGGCCGATACTTAGACGAAACGTCCAAGTCGCGAGCTTATTTTTACGCGTCGCGCGCATTTTCAGTTAAATTCTGGATTATCTTCACTTTGAATTATCTTTCTCCGCAATTGGAAAAAGCTTGTGGCTCGGAGCGAATCGTCTAAATATCGATTTCCTTACAGATTCTTTTTTACCCTCGGCGTACCTTCAACGTGTCCCATCTTGCAGAGATAGAGACTGTAGGGACTAGAACAATGGACATTCGTTGCGACTGCGAGGACGTAACTCGAGTGTCTTCGAGTGTTGAATAAAGATTTGCATTACGGATGACTTCGTGTCATTACGGGCTATTGAACTTTCGGAAAATATTTCAATGTGAAAGACCCTCGGCAGTGTAGTCGGCATGTAATAAACTATCGTATAGGTGATACGGGTTACCGAATGTACGGAAGTATGATTCCGATATGATGAAGTATAACACGATTGTACCATACGCACATTAATTATCGTATAATACATAGTAGCAACATTTATGTCTTTGGAAAGATAAATTTTTAAATTTTGCTCAGTTTAACGAGATTTACTTAACAGGGATGTCGATATTACGATAAATAATAAGTTATCGAGCAATTGTCTGTCGGAATTATTATCAGACTATTGGAAATTACTTTAGCTAATGCCAGTGACTAAAATAAGTGAAATGTACTAGAGTTCTGAAAACCTTCGCTATTATTAGTCGAATTTTTAATGTCAATCGAACGAATTAAAAAACTTGACGAATTAGTCAAGAATTCATAGGAAATGATTCGTTTTTATCATTTAAATATTTTAATAGAAGGAAATAATTTTATTTTTATGAATTTCTCCATTTTTCATCCAAATATTATTACAATTTTTCCACCTACTTTGGAAAGGAGAGAGGGCATTACGCAACAATAAAATTCCTATTCTTTATTTATTTCAGAAAAGAATTATCCCTATTGGCTTGTCTTTATAAAAATCAATATTAATGTATAAATAAAATGACGTGATTTGCTCGATAGTATTAGTAGTTAAAAATTCAGTTTAAAAATTCAAATGTTTAATCAGCATTCTAGAACTTTTTCGCTAATTGTAATGCAGGGAAGCTTCGTCGATTAAACAATCTTAATACCATTTCAAATGGAAATCGAATATCGTAGTGATATAATGGACAATATAAATGTTTCATTTCATTCATTTACAATTAAGTTAACTTATTATTAGAAGAAGAAAAAAACAGATATGAGCATTTTGAATTTAAATAATTTGTTATTAGTTAGATATGTTCATTTGGGCACGAGATTAAGTGAATTATTTGAGAATTGTCAATTCGTAGGAGGCTACATTAATTTTACAATTGAAATGATTTTCCACGAATTTTCTGAATGATGGAATAGAATTGCCGATGATCTTACGAATAATTGTAATTTATCGTAATTTGAGATAATGCTCGATTGATGACAATCAGTGGAATAATAACTTGGAAGTGCAATGATAGCCTCTCGCAATATAATTAACGAATTTCATTAATTCACATACGAATTAACAGTATTTCTTCTAGTATTTAGTCGTCGGTACGCGACTTTTTTATCAATAATTTTGGGCAAAACGCAGTTTAGCGAAATATTGCTTTAAAAAGAGGCAGAAAAACTGAGAGAGTGTGTGTCAACAATTAGGTACAATTATCAAACGTCACAATCCAGCGAAAAAGCTTTATAAAATATAAATTAAGGAGTAAGAACCTGTCGATTATAGGCAAAAAAAAAAAAAATTCGACCAAATCCCCGCTCAGAAAAAATGAGGTACTAGGGTGCGCAAGCTAACGTAGACGGTTTTGCTTCTCAGGCCAGTCGAGGTCGACACCGCAGCTGGGTGCGAGCTCCAACGTGCCTTTCCTCTCCCGGCGCTTCGGCAGTGCTCGCTCCTTCGACAACGGGGCACAACTCCAGGGCCCGAGAGCTCTCCTCCAGGTGGCGCCTGTGCTGCGCTCGGGCTTCGGGGGTAGCGGACGTCGCGTTCTCAACGGCGGGCCCAACGCCGCCTACTTCGGCAGCCTCCAGCGACTCATGCCTTACAACCTCGAGTACGACTTTGCCGTGATCCAGGAGCGGGCGACTCTCGACTCCCTCGAGCAGGACGCCTCGCGGATGCAGCAATACTGGGGTGTCGCCACTACAGAATTGTGAACGGCTCCGCGCACTTTTTCCATATTTTCTCCCGGTGGAGTTGCTGCTACTTCCGCGGCATGTCAACTCACTCGACAAACCTCTTTCCTCTTCATTTTTCCCATATCTTACTATTAGGTTGTTAAAGAGTCGTTATCGGTTCGCTGATAGGCTGCTTTGTCTAATGAGTATACGAAAGATTTATTTTCGAATACACGTTTATTTGCATTTTAACTTTAGATGAGAAAAATCCTCGGTTAATGTTTTGTCATCGTTGCACGCGGATAATTAGTGAATCAAATGATATTTCCTTAATTTGAGATAATCGGCTAATTTAATGTTGGAAAATTATTTAGTTTGCATAAGAATGCGCGACGACGACGAAATTTCGCAATGTGATAGTTTCCTTACTTGTAACGTAGGTTCTCGTCTATTGGCATAAATATCTCTTGCAGATGTATATAGTAAATGCAAGGTACTCGGTAGAAAAAACAATTAATTAAGTATTATAATTGGTATTGATATGACTTGAATTTCGTGCATAAATACCGACTATAAACTTTGAAATTATTGTTTTAAATACCTAATTGTCGTTGAAATTGAATCGAAGAATTTTCCTAAAATTATTTGACTTCATTTCTATTATTATTCTAAAATTATTTTACATTTCGAAATATTGTCGAATGAAATGTTTAATTTAAAATATGCCATTTAATTTAATTCCAAAATATGTAACTTTAATAAAATCGTCATTAAAATTATTCTATTCTAAATTAAATTGACTTTTACTTTCTTAAATAGATACTACGCATCTCCAATACGTATAGATTAGCTCATATTTACTAATTTTTAGATAAATTGTAAAATAAATTAAGTTCTAATGCACTACTACATGTAATTTATTGCTAAGCCTTTCATAATAATTAATTCAATTATACATTGTCACAATGTTAATTTGTTTATACAAGTACTCGACATACCTTTAAACCGACAAAGTTATGTGTAAGCTATTAATGTACCAAAAAAATTTCATTCCATGTACCTGATCGTCCTTTTGTCAATCTGTAAAAATATTCTAAAACTTAAATTTATGTAAAAATAGTTGTCTAATAAAAGTAAAATGTTAATAATTATTTACTGATTTGAAAGAAGTATCGCTATCCTCTCTACCGAACTGTTAGATTTTATTCATTAAGAAATATGAAATCAATTGATAATAATAATGTCATTATGAAGAGATATATAGATTCAATGTATTGTAATGTACGATTACATAATTATGAATTACTTCTTTTTCACTTTAAAAAAATATTACATAATATTTCTTTTGATTAATATCTACGTTAGATATTTCCCTTATTTTTTACATTTTTATTAGTCTCAATTTAGAGACATTTTTCTAATAAAATTAATATCTTCAATAGGTATTAATGTTGAAATTGAACATAATTAATAGATACTCGAGTTTTTATTACATATTCACATTTATTGCTCAATCATATAAAATGTATATTTCTTTAAAAATAACTTCATTTTAAAAAGCAATTAAAAAAATAAGAAAAGAAATTTTTTAAATGAAACAAATCATAATTAACATTTTTTATTATTTTGCAATATATATATATATATGTGTGTGTGTGTGTGTGTGTGTGTGTGTGTGTGTACACACACATGTATAATGAACAGTACACAATAAATATCTAATCAATAATTCAATTAAAATATATAAAACATTATCATTGTTTTTACCAATACTAAGTTTATTTTGTTAATTTTCATCGATATTACTTATAGAATCTTAATTTTTTAACTGTATTTTTAATAAATAATTATACTGTTCTCGATTATATAAGTTATACGGGGAATCTAAAAATATGGTTGATATTTGATGAATCCATAATATTTGTCAATTTAAATAAAATTTTCTTTCAATTCACTTAAGAATTATAATGTATCAATTAATTAGAAAGTACAATACTATAATCATTCGTTCAAACAAGCTAAGTTATTTGAGTGAAACTGTGTTTATTGAATTTACGAGAAGTAAAGAACTTGTGGAAAGTTGACTAATTGCATTTTAATTATATACAAGTTATTTTTCTGCTTACGTAGACATATTGAAGCGAGATCGAGAATATTATAACGTGACAACTGTTGTTCCCGTTGTTACTTCTTATTCAGTACATAATCTCGTATATCTTCGCGCATAAAGACATAATGTCAAATACATTATAAACAAAACAATTCAATACTGTTAAAAGTTGAGAAGTCTGTTAAAGTGTCAGAAAAATTAAAATGGCGTAAAATAGTAGATGAAGAGAAGTAGAAGACATAATGCTGTATAATGCTGTAAGGAGGTGGAAGAGTAAGATAATATAACGATAATATAAGATTTAGGTTTAGATTTAGGAAGAACGTGGGGGTGGGGGGGGGTGAAACAGTAAGAGTCAATAAGTAGCACCGATAATATTGTTTTATCTTAACAAGTATGTGCGTGCGTTTGTGTGCATATCGGAGTTCGATGTCTGCGAGAGTTGTGTCATGCATCACCGTAAAGATACCATGTCTATTCATAATTCTTGAGAATTTTACAATTCGAGCACATGTTTACCCGAATGTGCCTACATAAAAATATTTAAAACGTGATTTAGATAAAAGAAATTAAAATTTTTTTATCTTTTATATAATCATCTCCCTCATATTTCTTAATTAGCGTTTAAAATATCTTACTGGAGTTAATATACTTATTGTTGCCTACGTTATTGTAATTTTCATTTTGCTTTCCTTGAAATCAAATGAATGAAAGCTAGTTAAAAAGAATAACAATTTTTAAATCAAGATATATATATATATATATATATATATCCGTATGTCTTATGATTTAATATACTACCTAACTAATACGAATGAACAGAATTCTTTGGAGCATATAATACATTCAAAAGGAAATTTCATCAAAGAACTCCGCATTTCATCCACACGATATTCTTGGCTGTACAAATAACTTATCATTTTACACACTTTCTAACTTTTTATATCGAATGTGGTTCGATATTCTAAAATACAAACACGTATGACTGATTGAGCAATGTTCTGGGAAATTATTAACACGCTTCATATACATTCAATTTTCTATTTACGGTCGATAATTTCATTTTACATGATAATTTGATGCATTCATGTAGTTGGCAGAAATTATTCATAATATTTTCGATGTATTAGAAACTCAATGAATAAAATATTTTAGAAATATGGCTCGTTAATAATGTAATTATTTTGAGAGAAAAGAATTAATTTAAATTTTTAAGGTTAATTTAAAACTGAATTATTTTCAATTTTTCATGATTTAAAAATATTATGACTAGTTTTGTTTCATAGGGTTTTGCTTTTTTAATGATAAATAATTTTATGACTTATGGCTTTATACATAATTATTCCTATTAAATAAATACAATAATAATAATATTTAATTAAGAAACATTTTTGTAAAGTATGTAACATATTATTATGATTTATGTTTTCGTGTATTGATTATAAAATTGATATGATTTGGAAAAGATACTAATCATGCAAATAATATATAAACACGAAAATATATAGTAAATATTGAAGATATTCGCAAAAACATATATATCACATATACATAGAATTAAAGCGAATGTGTCGTTAATTTATCAGTATTTGAATACGAATGAATTTTGTTGTTGTTGTTGTTGTTAATAATATGCTATATTTGATTATCACACATTTAATTACGAACACATTTAATGAAAGGAATAATTTAAATTCCATTATTTAAAAGTCATGGAATTACTAGACTATTTTTTTTAAATACCAGCTTAAATGCCCATCAGCGAATATTTATTCTTTTATTACTAAATCGTCTCATACTATCAAACTGATTGAGGCTACATACAAATGTACACGCGCACGTGACATATATTGCTTCTAATGGATTTGTAATCGAGGACTAGGGATTACATTGTAATTGATGGTACCAAATGGCACTGATGTTAGAAGCGTAATAAGGAGATATGCAGTCGATACACTGATTGTGATTTAAATATTTGTAAAAATTAAATCTCGTTTCTTTTTTTTTTCCTTTTTTTTTCTTACAAAAATCATGTCATAGTATTTTCACAATTAAAAGTATCATACACGTACATGTCTTAATTTCGAACTTATGAAAAGTTTTATAATAGAAAGAGAAAATAATATAATATTCAAATTCCATTGCATTGTGATTCTTAAGATTGCATAAGCGTCGTTGTCTTTTTAAAAAATCTTCCCTCTGTACATATATAAATACATGCGTTTACACTTGGTAAATATATATATAATTGAATAAAGACAGTGTGTCAGTCTCATTTATAAATTGTAAATACTAATATTCATCATTAACAATGAATTACAAATAAATTAAAAATTCCAACGCTTTTCAAACAGTAAGAGAAAGATATATACGAGGTCGGTTATTTACATTCGCTATCTTTACCTCTGTCATTCATGAGTTTGATTATGGGATGATATATACAACATTTATTCTGATGAAAAATTAAGTCAAGATGATGATTCTTAGTACATATTTGCTTCAACCATGTTGTAATATGTTTATAAGTTATTATTATTTCGACATGCCTTGAGAAATTGTACGATAATGTTGTTATAACGAAATCTGATAGCAAGGTAAATGCAGAGTTCATTTCTTCTAGTGCAATACTACATACGTCTAGCATATATTGCTAAATAGTTGTTGTAGTAGCTTTCCAAAAAACACATATACTTTATGCACAGAGATATATAATTATAATAAAGAAGCTTTTGAAAATGCTATTTTACAAAGATATGACGGATGGAATTTTACTAAAATAAAGTGAAAACATACATTCGTTATGGTTTTTGTAAAATGTTTCGATTACGATAATTCGTAAATTTAGGGTAAATTTCTTAACGTCATGGATTAATAACAATGCATAACAATTTTAATAAATTACTATATAATTCTTTGGATAGAGGCTAAAAACAAAACATTTACCGATTTCATTTAATTACTAAATAGATATAATTGAATACTAAAATATAAAGAAAAATTAACTTTCCAGATAATTGCTTACATTACTAGTTCGTCGTTAGTTGTTCAATCGGTGCGAGTTTGGAAGAATATAAATTTTATTTTCACTAACATACCGTGCTAATTAACTCTAATTCAGAAACTAATCGATACTCTTATGAGACGAAATATGAAAGATTATTTATTACGCGTATGTTTTTAGAATCGTCCAATGGAAATCTAAATGTAGTTCATATTAACAAAGTTGGCATACAAAATCATTCTTGTTGAATA